AAAATAATCAAGGTTGAATTTGATACCATTAAATAAAATAAAATCAAGAAGTTTTTTACTCAACTAAATTTTAACAGAAAACAGAATTGATATAATTATAAATTCAACAGGGGTTTTAAAGAATATAATTTCAATATAAATAAAAATAATAAATATAGATTTAATAAGGTAATCGAGTAGACAAATATTCTATATAATAATCTGTTTTTATAATATAATTTGAATATATTTCTTAATTAATATTTTAAAAAGTTTTTATTTAAATAATTGATTAATTCCCTTTAGCTTAATATAATATATAGATGCTAACTGAAAATATTAATATCAAACTCAGAAATCTTTAGATATAAAGATACTAAAAGCTAAGGTATCTTTGGACTAATTGAACAAATTTAAAATAAATATTATAAAAATAATATTTATAAAATAAAAGTTATATAATATTATGGGGTTAATAGATAAGAATAAAGCTTTAGTAATTTTATCCTAATATAATAAAGTTATAATGATTTAAATAATAGATTCAGATTTTAGAATTAAAATATAATTTAAAGAGCTATAATATAGAATATTTTAAGTTAAAGATATATAGAATTTTCCTAAGTGAGCTAGTTCGATCGGGCTCTAGCTCACTTGCGCTCCGGCGCAAGCGCCCATTCCGGACTCCTCCGAGAGATCCAATATGTCACGTGATCTCACACCGTGACATTGATTAATATAATTGTATTTTTTATATATCTTAGAAATTGAAATTTACATTTAATATAATAATATTTGAAGAATAAAGAAAATAATCTTCAAGTTTATTTATATAACTAAATTAATAAGAATTTTAATATATTAAATAGAACTTCTAATATTTGAAATATAAAGAAAAAAATTATATTAATTAATTTTCTGAATTCTAATAAATAGTTCTATAATTTTCTTTCTATTTTGTTAATTCTTTTAAGATTATATATTAAATTGAATATTTTCTTTAAATATAATAAATATTGAATAGATTGTACTAATATTCACTATCAATTCTTACATTTAAGACAAGAACATATAATAGCTTGATTATTATAATTAAATCTATATTAAATAATATTAAATAAATTTTTAATTTCATTTCTTAAAATAATTCAAAAAAAATTACATCAATCGATCTATAGAATTTTAATTAATTTTTTCATTTTTTCTTTATTTCATTAATATCTTTAAGATTATATATAAAATTATAGAATTTTTAAATAATTTAGATATTGATAAGATTAAATTATGAAATTATATTAGTTATTAATCTAATCTAATTATCTCTTTCTTACTTTTATAATAAATTAAAGTTTTTATTAAGCTTATTTTATTTATTATAAAATAATTTATATATAATAAGAAAAATATTAAATATCAAGATCTTAAATATTAATATACTTTATTAAGGAAATTCTAAAATAAGTTTTAAAATAATTTAAATAAAGCTATTAATGAAGACTTTTATAATATAACTAGGCTGTATAATGAGTACTCACAAAGCGGATAATAACCTCTACAGATAATCCACAGGCTACTTATTGTGAGGTGAATAATTTGAAATCCTAGATAAATTATTTATAAATTATTTACAAATTATCTACAAATACTTATATACTTACAGATAATTTATAAAACAAATAATCTATAGATAATTTACAAATATATAAATTATTTATAAATAATCTATGAACAATTTATAAATAATTTTTAAATTATTATTTAATTTTTAAAGCTATTTACAACTTTATATTAATTTTTATATTAATTTATTATATAATTATTTATATATTTATGAATTATCTATGAATAACTTATATATTTACAAATTATTTTTAGATTATTTGTTCTATAAATTATCCACAAGTATTTACAAATTACTCATTACAGAGCGAGTAATTATTTGTCTCTACAAATAATCTGTAGAACAGGTAGAACCTCTGGCGGATAACCTGTGGAATGGATTACCTACAGATTACCCACGGGTACGGATAATTTCTACGCAGCTTAAATATAACTTTATATATAATAAACCTTTAATAAATTATATTTTATATAATACAAATCTTTTTTTAAAAAAATCTCTATAAATCTATTATACAAATATTAGATTCTTTTTTTGTATTAGGTAAAAATCTAATTTTAGGGTTTTGGTCAAATCGTTCAAACAGGCCTCGGTACAGCGACACCAAGCCCATTTTCCCCGTAATTAATGAATTTGATGATCGCTCAATAGATTGCGTGGACTTTTGATCACTCGGTGCCGAGTCGATGTTATCGCAACTGAACCTCTTCTACTTGCATACATCTGTGTTCAAATACTATTTACAGTCAATTCATTCTATTTAAGATGACTCGAGGATGGATCGCTTGAGGATGGATCGCTTGAGGATGGATCGCTTGATGGGATTTCATGTATACTGGACAATCGCTCGCTACCCGGGTCGGTTGAATTGATGATACCCCGAAAATTGGGCGCGTATTGATTCTCATGATAGGGCTACGATATCACGCTGTTCTATACATCCAATTACCCACACACGTGTGACGCATCCTATCTAGATAAGTGGATTGATTAACTACTTCTTTCATGTCACCATAATCCAAATTTCACAGTCTTGGAAATACCCAGCAAGATGATTTTTGATTCTCAGAAATGATCATAGTGCTACAGTGCCTCCTTTTCCTGCGAAACGCTTATGGCGTGATTCTGGTCGATGCCAGCCACTTGTTACACGTTTACAACAAGGTTGTATCAAACATCTTTAATGATATCTGCAGCCTTCTCTGCCACAGCATCCACCGAGGATTGAATGTTTCCACGTGGGATCAGTGGGAAAATACTTGCATCAACCACGCGTAGATTATTCGTACCGTGAACAATCAGCTTATCATTCACAACACCCCCTTTTTCTTTTGTAGCATTGCAGTGGTACCACGATTATGATAAGCAGTCACAGCAGTGTTAAGGATATAATTCTTGGCTCTTTCAAGACTATGGATATGGAAGGAGTCTGGGTGGTTTCGCTTCCTATAAGAATTGTGCATCAATTTCAGGTACATCATCAATGTTTGATGAGGAGATGTGAGTAGATCCTCGAGAGAACGGGTGACTTTGGCAACAACCAAGCTAGTAAACTTTTCGGGTTGGAGATCTGACCCCACAAAACTCTTTCCCCCCTCATGTAGATTCGTTTGAGCGAGAATTATTAACCAAGCCGCCGAAAATGCTTCTGGACTTTCGATAAATGAGCGTACAGCTTCAAAATGTTCCACATCTTGTGGCTTTGGAGGGTACTTTTGGAGTATACTCGTTAGCAGTTCTGCCTTTTTTTGGCGTCCCTCCGCGTCGGAGAATTCCAAGATGGGCATAAACGCATGAGATCGTATCCCGCCAATAGTAAAGGGACCTGCTTTATTCTCGGTGTACAATTTCTGAGCAAGTTCCAACGCCCTGGGTTCTTGGCGCAACAGAGGATCGCCAGTTGGCACTCCATCAACGATCTCAAAGCTGACTCCGGTCATCAGATGATCCTGCATATTTTCTCCTACGCCAGAATTACTGATGACGACCGGAATGTCGTGCTTCTTAAGCAAATTTTCATCTCCTATGCCGGATAATTCAAGCAGTTTGGGCGTGTTGAACACTCCAGCGGCTAGACTAACTTCCTTGGTGGCGGTATACTGCTTGGTCTTGCCGTGAACAGATGCAAGTACACCAGTCGCAATAATGCCACCGCTTGTTTTCTCAAACAAGATCTTATGAATTGTAGCTTCAGTAATCAAGTGAAAATTCGGTCTCTGAAGAGCCGGTATACCATACGCAGAGCCTGCATAGCTTCGAGTCTTGGTGGTGATATGAACTGTGGCTGCATTGCTATATGCGCCAGTCGAGTTTCCAGAAAAAGGATCTATTTTGTGTAAGTTCATGATTTTCTTGCAATTTGGGCACCAAGTTCCACTTGCAGGCAATGACCACGTACCTCCAGTAGTTGATTTCCCAAAGCCGCGAAAGCTATCAGTCCAGGCTTGCAGAGCGTATTCTGGATAACTCCGGGGAATGATACTTGAATGGGTCCAGATGTTCCACGGTAATCTTCATTTATCCAGTCAATACCTAGATGCTCGAGAGTCTTGTTATCGGGTGGTGGCGATAGAGTATAGAACTTCTTGTAATATGAAGATAGAGCAGCCTAGTCCCACCCACCGTTTCCTAATTTACCCATGAATCGATCTCAGCTTTGCAGGTGCGATGAAAGATTGACAGTTGATAGCAGACGAGCCGCCAAAAAGTTTCCCCTGCGGCTCGCTGATCGTTCGACCGCGCAGACCGAGCTATTATACATTATGAATCAGCTGCTTCCGATGTTTCGAAACGATGGGCTCCAGCACGCTTGCATCATATGGTAAACCCCTCAGATAGGCAAGGAGGATGGAAAGTATACTCCAGGGCGATCTGAGATACATTCATACCAATGTAAAGATCAAACCAAAATAAAGAGAAGCTAACCCTAATCATAGTTTTGGCGACGAACAGCAAGATCTTGATCGCGTAGTTCACTTTATTCAAAATAGTACAGACTTGGAGGTTTGAGAGTATGTTGGGAGATGTAAGTGAAATTGGGAGACAAATTCAGAGAGACGAAGAGACGCGACAAGAATGAAGTCGCTTCAGAAGCCGTACATGCCCCACATCCATATTTTGAAGCTGGGAGAAGAATACATTCATTTGCTATATTCTTCTGTAGTTGATCACTAGTACCAGCGAACAATGAAATTGAAGAATAACACACACGGAGAAAGAGCTTGAGCCAAGTGATCATGGCATGGCAGATGGCATGGCAGTTTTTGTCAAAGTTCTGTCAATTTCGTTTTCGAGACTACTACTCCCTGATTCCCTCTGAACATAAATCCAAAATTCAACCCAACAAAGAAATCTCCAGCCACACTGAATCATGTAGGCTCCCTGAGATCCCCAAAATGTCTCACCACGAAATCCGTGATGAAATCACTCCACCAAATCTAAACTTTCTTCTCCGTGCCAATCCGCTCAACAAAGAGCTCAAACCATCCGCGCCGGAAGAAGCGCTCGCCCCAGTGAGTGTCCCAGTTCCACCCATCAATGACGTGATCTCACTTTCCAAAGAAGCAAGTCCCGATGAAGTACTCGTTCCACCACCCAAAGAGCCCAATGACGAGAGTCCACTTTCCAAAGAGCCAAGTCCGGAAGTTGTGTCCGTTCCGGTGCTATCTCCAAGAAGAGAACCTAGACCCGATAAACCGGATGCGGATGCGAGTGGGCTGCTGGATGTACCCAAGCCGGGAAGACTGTCGAGTTGACGCTTGTGGGTGTTGGTAGGTGCACCGGAGATGAGTGGGAGGACTGCGATGATGAGGGATATGTGGAAATGCATGTTGGTATGCTGAGTTTTGGAGAATGGATTATCGCGAGGAGATTGATGTATGAATGGTATGCTGTGAGTTGAGGTTGAGAGACGATATATGAAGTGCAAAGTGAACGTCAAAAACGGATACTTTGTTGAAGTAGCGAGTGATTTAGAAAGAATGTGAGTAATCTGATGAACAAAAGAGAACACTAAAAGCCGGATCATTGCAAAGCTATATATAACAGTGAAATTAGAGGATGTAGAACAAGCAAGTATATTCCCACGTTTTCGCTTCATCCAACATCGTAACAGAGGCTGACAAGGTCCGGCATTGTCCCACTTCCCACTCTATTTCCCCTAAGCTTTATCTTCTATATTAACGTTGGACAATTTTCCATATTTCAAAAGGAACATTTCAGAGGGCAAGTATCTCGATTGCTGAATATAATACCGAGGTATTTTCATCCCCATTGTAGATATTCATGCGAGTGGGGACACTTTTCTTTTTTTGTTCATCTACTTGAAACTTTCAAGTCTAATATCGAGGGCTGAGAACAGGTGATAGATGGACAACCAGTGAGTGCATGGGTTGATGGGACACTTCCCAACTTTCGAAAATTTCGACCAATTCAATCATCAACTGCTTCATATAAAAAGTTATATTTTGACTGTTTCACTTTGAACAAATAGTCGTGATAAATTTTAAGATGTATAATCTGATATATCAAGGGATATTCACGAGTCAATTTTGTAGTATCCCGTTAGTCCATACACCTACTGGTGGACAATCTAGAATACCATCCTGAAAGTTCATGTATGAAAGCTCCCATGACGCCACATTATCCGAGTGGTTCAGGTCGTCCAGATCCGAGCAGGACTCCGTTCTAGCATATAGATAATGAGATCTTCTCATTGATGCTCATAGAACTATGTAAAAAAAACATGGTATGAAATTATTTGTTGCCTAGTATAGAATCGAAACATAAATGGAAGTTCTGCTCATCTCTCCACCCACAGACATTCCCCACCCTGCACTTTCTCATCTCTATTCCAAATCTTTAAACAGCACCGGTTAATCCAGAAAGAAGGCCTGCACCCGCAGCTCCAGTTCCTGTAGCTCCAGTGGCTCCGGTAGCCCCGGTACCAATTGCATTTGTACCACCTGTCAAACCACCGATAAGTGTGTCCTGCCCAACTCATTAGTAACCATCATCGGGATAGAAAAGCAGATAGAAGACTCACTGGTCCTTGAGCTCCCCCAGCATCAGTATCAGTGGCGGTAGCACCACCAGTAGCTGCTCCTCCAGTGAGTCCGGATAGGAGGTCACCACCACCGCTTGAGGTGCCTGTTGCTCCTCCTGCTGTGAGTCCAGATAAGAGATCATTACCACCGACAGCTGTCGTGGCTCCTTCTCCTCCTGTGAGTCCAGATAACAGATCACTACCACCGGTTGAGGTGCCTGTTGCTCCTCCAAGAAGACTACCGAGCTGTCGCTTAGTCTGTAGTCTTGTTAGCATGTGGTCAATGATTAGATGGGAGATGCGCATACGGGTGCGGCGAGAGCCAATGGCAAGATAGCGATGATGAGCGAGAGACGCATTGTCAATTTTGAATGAAGGTAATTTGATTGATTATAGGAATTTAAAAAAGAATGTGATATGTCGAATTGCGTTGGACAAATTTGGTCTGTGATGATAGAAAATCGAACAAGGTATCTTGGTAAGGCAGATTGAGAGGATGAAAAAAAAAAAAGCAAGCAAACACATCTTCATCTACTTATAGAAGCCATCGTCGGAGATTTCCATGACACCTTTGATTCCTGAGTCTGATAATTTCCAAATACTTCCCTCGGACCCCTAAATGTTTGGTCGGACAGTGAGCTGATGTACACAGCTACATTATATTTTCCGAACACTATCGTATCAATATCATGAGGCATTTCGAGAAAACGGAACTTTGCGTTGTTAGCAGAAGCACGTTCTGAAGATCTGAAGATCTGATGGTCTTGGGACGCATGTGGGGAAATGGGATGAATGGGGCTTTTTTGTTTGAGGGGGAGTGCTCGGACATAGGATGGACGATATGAAACGTGAATGGGATCCGGAGTTTTGATACAGCCTTAATACATATTTCTTTTTTAGCTGTACAGGTACAAAGTGATGATTAATTGGAGAACGTACGATTCGTGAAATTAATTACTTGATTTGTTGCGATTGGCACATGACATTCTGTCACGACATGACCACAAAAACGAGAGCCGAACAAACAGTTTTGAGTAAATATGACACATTACGAAATCGAAGATAGAGAGTTTTCATGCTCATTCAAACTCTAACCTGTCGTCTGATGTTTTGGCCTTGGTTCTTTTGGCGCATTGGACATTATGGCTGTCATCCAATGATTAGGTGCTGGATTTGTACTGTAACGAACAAGGTCATATCATCCTGAATGTGCATTTCTGCTTGAATGCTGAGATCGAAGTTTGCATGATATAGACTCAAGGTGGTCTGAGAGTACCAAAAGAGTACCCGAAAGGTGGTTATGTTTTCCCTCCGAAGTTGAGAACTTCACGGTACAGGCATACGGTATGATAACTTGGAAAAAATATGAACGATAATCCTCCGCGAACATGGGGAACCCATTCAAACATCGGAGGGCCATATTTGATTGTCTGATCCAGATACTGGACGTTTTCAAAGGTAGAGATTATGCATAAAATTAGATCTTTAAGGCTAAGCCTTCGCCAGTAATTGACTGTTGAGCTTCAGTCGTGCGGATAGGAATACCAATGCCCCTAAAAGCATCATTATTTCGGAGAACAGAGAAATTCCAATGTGACCCCAAACATGGAGAATCTTCCCGTTTGTGGGTGAGCCCACAAGCCCGCTGCTAGAGTTAGCCAAGTTTGGATCTGCGGGATAGTAAGCCGAAACTTACGCGATTGAGAGGACCGTCATGACGAAACCGATTGCAATTCCATATTGTGTCGGCGATACAAGCTTTGCTGCACAAACTCCTTGAAGACTAATGATTACTCCTAAGGTAAATCCATAAGCCAGAGAAAACATGGTGATTCCAGCTACAGAAGTAGCTTTGATCATACATGTACAGACTAAGCCGGACGAAATCGCAGCCATAACGGCGATATTGTAACAGCCAAATCGATCAGCCAATAACCCTGGTATGATACGACCGAATAGACTTGCTGCATTGACTATGCTGATCGTATAGAGCGCAAAATTACTATCCAGTCCAAGAGACAACGCCCAAAGCTCGATGTAGAAGAAAGGGGTGAAGAGGCCAAAGTAAACAAAGAAAAGTTCGACTGCGAGTAAAATCAGGACAGGATTTTTGACGCATGAAAAATCTGGTTTTGCCTTGATATGATTAGTCGTCTGGATGGGTGCTCTGACTGAGAGACACCCGACAATCAATAAAGGAAGTTCAATGAAAGCAACAATTCGAACTGCCCCATCCAAAGCCAACTTCGGATGTAAGTTTGTTCAGAGCAATTGGCCAAATAACACCCCCTAACGATGATCCTGATATTACAATTCCAAGTGCCAGACCTCGATATTTGGTAAAGTATTGAGCTGCTATGGAGAAAGCTGGAAGAAGAACAGACGCAATACCGATGCCGAGTAAGAAGCCTTGGGCGTAAAAAAATTGGTAGTACTCTTTGCAAAGAGAGTCATGAACAGAGCGAGAAGCATCACGACACTGCCTCCATATACCAATAGCTGCATCTTGCTTAGTTGAGGTTTCGATCACGGTGATCCTAGTTTGCGTACCTTTGGGCCATATTTGTCATTTAAATATCCAGAAACAAATGTTCCGCCAATCATGCCAAAAACATTATAAGATCCAAACCATGAAATACCTGATGCTAATTTATTGGCGAGCATATTTTTCGCATAGTACTCTTGAAAAACTCTAAAAGCGTTTACGAAACCTACTGAGTAGAACAATATCGAGAATGCACCAGTGACCGCAATACATGATCGAGTACTGGCATTTGATCAATAAGAGATACATCAAACAGGGAAAGGGAACACCCACTTTCAAGCCGAATCATCAGGAATACCCCCCTCCGAAAGCTCACTCGGTGGTTCACCGGATACTGGTTTGGAGTCTGATAATACTGGTGATTCGGGCGACTCGGCGTTGTCTTTCATTGCATCACTACTTAAACTTATCGATTGAGGCGTTCTATAAGAAAAGGAGTAAATGGGCAATCAACTTGTAAACGGACGTCTTGTACATTGATATTGTGATGGTATGAAATTGTTACTATCTACTCACCTCGTATATTTGAAGCAAGCCACTCACAGTATGTAGGGTAGATTGTTGGAGTAGATTACGGTTTAATCATCTTGAGAATCCTCCTCCTTAGATGTACAATTGGTATGGTGGGCGGGATTGTCGTTTGTATTGCAGTGCATCTTGATCGTTCATTACTGAAATCGATAAGAAAAGTGGACCGGATAGTCCGAGAATCCACGGAAATTGAGGTCTTCACTAAGGACAACCCGGACTAGTATTTGGGACCATCATCCATGTGACAACGTCTTCCATTCGTCTCATACTCGCAATACCACCGCCAATTAATCCATTAAACCTTCGGAGTTATTCGAGAAAATTTTAGTTTCTGTGCAGTGAATCGGCATGAAGCGATCCTCACCAATCCATCCATCTCAGGACGGGCGTAAGGAGAAAATAGCTCGTCGACAGGACCCTGTCTCATGCAAGTTTTGTCGGACCAAAAAGCTCAAGGCAAGATTACGACTCTAATAAGAATAACACATCGCATTCTGACCTTGGCAGTGTGATCGCAACTTTCCATGCAGTAATTGCAGAGCTCGCAGACTCCCCTGCGTGTCAGCTACAGGTCGAGCAGACATCCCAAGTTCCCAGCCGATCAATTCTTTCTCGGCAGGTTCATCAAGGTTAGTGCTGCTGTTTCAGTGCATTGAAGTAGTCTTATCTGATTATTACTACAATAGTCAAGGGATTGAGGAGTTGAACGCCCGCCTGAAAAGGTTAGAAGAACTTCTAGAAATAAACATCAATGTATCAGGAAGTTCGAAAGATACCGTTTCTGGTATTGTTCTTCTCTTGCAAAACTCTGGTATTGAATACGGGCTGATAAATGATTAGCGGTCTCGACACAAGAAACGCCTGCAGAAGATGCTCAAATCACAAATACAGTCTCGTGGTTAGAATCTGATGCTTTCGAGCACCGAGGCCTCAATGAGTCAACAAACTATGTATTTCCACTTTTCTAAAACTTACCTACGAAATGCTAATAGGATAGAATCTTCTCAGTTACGATGATGAAATCACACAAACTTTTGCTGCTTCCTTTTTAGGTACGCCGGCCACTACTGTACGAACAGGTGTCGACGTACAAAGTTTGCGTTCGCTTCCGCCTAGAAAGCATGCGACGGTTCTTTTTGACTATTTTGTCCATAATATCGTTTGGATCTATCACATAATTCATATACCAACTCTCGAGACTCATCTGAATAGAGTATATGATGATCTTGACCAGAACTTACAGCCTCAAAACGATCATGTTGCTCTTCTTTCTACAGTCTTTGCATTGAGTTTATATTTTCAAGGAGCTGAACCTCTATCAGAAACTCGTCGTTGGACTTTGTTGGCTCAAAAAGCACTGTGTGCTGCCAATTTTATCGGAAAACCCACAATGGAGTCAATACAAGTAGTGCTATTGATAGCACACCATCTTTTGCCTAACATTGGAGGCATTGCTACCTTCCGAGTCCTGTTTACTACAGCAATGCATTCAGCACGTTCACTTGGATTCGATCAACTTGATTCTACCCAGAGCAAGAAGCGGAGAGTTGGGAAAAATTTGAATTACATTGAACTCGAAACTAAACGAAGGATTTGGTGGCATATTGTTTCTACTGATTGGTGAGTTCCACTTGTACTACTTTTCATGCTGTATCTAACAAGTGTAGGATCATGTCTTTCATGAGTGGTCCGCAAAACGGCACATATATGATTCACCCACAACAGATGAAATGCGACTATCCAACCAATGTCAATGATGTCGACATTGGTCCCCCTGGAGACTATAGAAAACCTTCATGTATGGCAACTGACATGACATATTCTACATTCAGGTACCAGCTCTCGATTATCTGTCGGGAAATTGTCGACGCCACTCAAACCTTTGGCAGTGAGACACATGAGCTGCCCTACGAGACGGTATTGAGTTTTGACAGGAAGCTAATTTCCATGGTTTCTGAATTTCCTCCAGCTCTTCGTATGGATGCCAAAAGTCGAGCGCAGTACAAAGATTTAGACGCGAAGTACCCTTTCTTGGCAGTGCAAAGGACTGCGGGACATTTTGGGGTTCATACCAGATTAACCCGACTTCATCGGGCTTATCTTGCGCGAGGTGCCCATGATCCACGATTCTCTTATAGTCGAATGATTTGTCTTCGATCTGCTCGTTCAGTAATTGAGCTGGGAACAGATCTTACTGACTGGGGCAAGAAGCAAAATTTCCAGCCAGTCAGAATGTGGACAGTGACGCATCACATCTTTGTGGCTACCGTCATTTTAGTAATGGACTTCTGCTTGAATAAAGGTGATCCAAGGGCAGAGGAAAGGAAAGCCGAGATAATGGACGCTTTTAGAATGCTTGAAACATGCCAAGAAACCAATACCATAGCGAGGAGAGGTCTTCAACAACTTCGAGATATCCTACGAAGGGGAACATCATCTACCGAAGAAGCTTTAGCCCAAGTAAAGGATCACAGCAATGCGGCTCGCGATGCGTCAAACTCTATACATTCACCGGAGCAACAAAATCCTGAGTTTCGAATGCCTGAAACGATGACTACTTTTCCTGGCCTTGATATCAATGACCCATCCTCAAGAAAAGATTGGGAAAATGTCGATTTTGATACTATCGAAGATATTAACTTTGATGCTGATCTCTCAGCTAGTGACTTCGAAGCACTCTTTCACAATGAAATGGCACCACCATATGGTTAATTTCCATTTAACAATGATACCTTGATTAATATATTTGAGCGATGAACATAGTGATACGAAATCCTTTCAAGATGTTATTTCCCGATATTTACAGTTGGATTCATTATTAGACCCCCAGATGACAACAATGTTATAGTCGACGCGCCTTCCCTCGATTGCACTCAAGTCACGTGTTGCGGGTCGAGTTGGCGCCTCAGCCACGGTCTGGTCCAACATTGAAAATGCATCAAAAATAGTGTAATGAGTTGCAATTCCTTCAATTCATTGAATCATTCTCGGTACGCTGAGAAGCAAAATCTGGACATCGATCTGGCCATGGCATAGTATGAATTAGTGTTGGTTGGCACAATTGTGACCTCCAATGGATAAAATATAAAACACGAGAGGATTTCTCAAGGAAGCGCCAATCTACACAGCCAAATTTGAGCATCATTTTTATTACTGTAGGCGTTTCGATGTTGGAAATTCAGTCAAGCTGAATCGTGAGGACCCAACAAATACCAACATCTGAGTCTTGAATCAATATATATTCCTACCCCAGCTTCGTCCATCATTGCGGCATTTTCTCACATACACACCTATATTAGCAGCTTAATTTAGCAATTCGTTTTTTTACAGTCTTTCATTATACCTTTGATTGTTATATATTCATCCAACTTATTAACCGATAAAATGCCTTCCTTTGCTGAAAACCCCTCATCCGCAACCGTTCAAACTGCTTTTCAATTCCAGCATCTAATTGAAGCTGGTCACAAAAACGCAAATTGTATTGATCCAAGCACACTGAAGGTTATCAAATCCATCACCAGCTCTCAACCTGGAAAGGATGCGACTTCACTCCGAACACCTGAGTGGGCAAACAGCAAAGAAGGCTTTCAAAAAAAGCTCTTCACGTTCTTAGATGGTCTTGCAAACAATCTGAAATTGAAAGATCTTAGTCTATCAGATGATTCAGATGATAGTGAGGAAGATCCTGATTGGCGAGAAGGCAGCGAAGGGAGCGAGGTAGAAGAGGAATACGATTCTGAGTATGATAGCGACGAATATACGGAGTCAGAGGACGATCGCAATACTTTGGACCGAATTAGTGAGGATGAAGATGAGGATGAAGGTGCTGAACCGAAGAAATGCTTGGATGCCAAGCTTGGTGAAGGTATACCATTTCCCCTTACCTATATCATATTCGTGTAGAGCATGATGGCTAATCCAATTAGGTATCATTCTTCATGAAATCATTGGCCGAAAAGTAGCTCTCTACGGTAACAAGGTTCTCAAATCAGGACGTAATCTTCAACTCTCTGAAGCAGACGCTATGCGCTACATCGCAACACATACCAGCATTCCTGTTCCTCGTGTCATAGAAGCCACTACCGACGGAAAACTCACCAGCATTACCATGGAATACATTGAAGGTGACCGCCTGGACAAAGTCTGGAACAGTCTCCCAGAAGACCAAAAGAAAAGTATCGCAAGTCAGATCAATGATATGCTATTCCAACTCCGCGGCTTGACAGGCCGATACATCGGCGGTATGAATCGTGCCCCAGCTATTGATTCCCGACGCTATGATCTCGAAGGAGGCCCCTTTCAATCTGAAGCTGAATTCAATGAATTCCTTATCTCGGATGCATATGCGCAAGTCCCTAAATGTTTCCTGAAAATGGCGGAACATTCTCTTCTTACTAATCATGCCATTATTTTTGCACATGGAGAATTGGCGCCAAGGAATATTCTTGTGAAAGAGGGACGGGTCGTAGCAGTTTTGGATTGGGAAAATGCCGGCTGGTATCCTGAGTATTGGGATTTCGTGAAAAGCTTCAATGCAATGGATAGTAGGTGTGGCGAGTGGTATGATTGGGCTGAGAGAGTATTCCCTGTGGGATATGAGCAGGAGTTTATGAATGATCGGTTTGTGGGAACGCTGGTCAGACATGGTCATTCTTAGGTGGATGGAAGGTGTTAGAGCTTTCTATGGTACGCTTTCTTTGATGATATTGAAGCAGTCTTGATGCGTAAAACTTCATTGTATGAAGGTAGAAGGTGAAGGCGGGTGGCGTTCTGGTGTAGTGGCATTTGTTGTATTCATAAGTTAATTTAAGTATCCATTTCGTAGTCAAATCGAGACCTATTGCAGTCCGATTACTATACTTCCACATCATTTTATCTCAAACAATCTTTGCGTTACTGTCAGTCGTGTAACTATAGGAGTACCTTTTGAAGAACAGACAGATTTCCATTCAACCTGCAAACCAGACACCATGATATTTCCGCTCCCCCTGATACCGTAGCCTAGAACATCAACAGGACCTTCAAAGAATACTCATCCTATTTTTTCTTCCCTGCACCACCTTGTCATCTCTTCTTTCCCCCTCCTGTCCTCCCATCTTTCCCTCCTCACCCCCAACCCTCACATAAAAAATGTCCTTCCACCCTCTCATCGCCATCAACCTCAACACACCACCCAATTTTTTCCTTATTCATCCCATTAATCCTCATTTCCGCCTTCCTTCATTTCCATCAGCCACCCTCCCCATCTTCCCAATCCTCACCCCCTGCCAAACAACCAAGATATCAAGCTTCAACTTTCCCATCTCCTCCTTCTCTTTCATATCTCCAGCCCCAACCTCATTCCCACCTTTCCCCGCACTACCCCGTCTCTGCAATGCAAATCTACAAGATTCTCTCAACACATCCCTAACCTCACACTCCAAATCCTGATATGAGAAATTCGGAGATAGAGGAAGAGCAGCGTAGTAAGATGTAGCATTCGAGAGACCGTTTGTTTTGGGAAATGAAAAATAAGCCAGGGCCGTGTGCGTTGCGATTGGAAGCTGTGGATACAGGGAGTAGACTTTGAAGGTTCTGGTGAATGCGTGATGAGAGATGTGAGCAGGGGAGAAGATTGCCGGATGATGTGTTTTGAGAGCTAAGGTGCATGAGGGGATCGCGGTGTTGATGGGTGTGTGAGAATATGGTTGGCTTTTGATGGTGAAGGTTCGTTTGGAAATGAGTTTGGATGGTGCTAGAGTTGTAAATGGGTGTTTTGTGAATGGTCGGAGCATTTTGGAAGATTCGATTCTGGTGGACGTAAAAGAATCTGACGGGGTTTCTACGGAATTTGAGGAAGATTGGAAAGATATCAGATCACACATGGCCAACAGAGCTTCAATATTATATATGCCAAATTTGTTTCAATTGAATGTCAATCCACGAAGAAAGTCCTAAATTTATTCTTGCATGAAAGAGCATTGATATCGATGAGGACAACTTTTATGCCAGCTTGCAACAATGAACTTGCAAAGGGGAGACATGTAGACAAGCTAATATGAATTTTAAGTGTGATAAGAAAAGGCTGTAATTGAAAGAAAGGGGGTTTGTTGGCTTTGCTATCAAATGGGTTTTGAAAACCTGTTTGCAATCCATTCATGTTTTTGATCAGGACTCTTATTCTTTGGTGGCCCGTCTTTTCATGAAAGACACCAGATAAGTTTGAATCAAAGTTCATTCTCAAGAATCCTCCAGATTCTTTGATCCAATGAGGCCCTGGACCAGCACAAAGTGCCACCGTTCACTTATGTTCAATGGCTTTCTCATTATCAACACATCGACTTTGACATTGGGAGGCTCTATATATATGTCATGCTATAGGTCAGCAGCCCATGAGTAGTAAAAGAGCCCAGAAAACCACAACACCCAAGACAAAGTAGCCATTACCCCAAAAACTCACAACCAACCTTCACTCACTCACTCATCCCACCACAATAACATGAACGACTCCCAAAACTCCAACACTATCCCCGAAACCGTTGTTCTCGTCCATTTCCGCCTCGTCGAAAGATCTGCCCCTCTAGCTCGAAACCCCACACCATTTTATTCCCGGCAGAACAGCTCCACCGCCATGTTCGTACTCTCCGGAAACGCAACACTCGTTGATTATACTGCTGCTGCAGTTTCCATGATCGATAATGATGAACATGGCATTGCGACACGGGCTCGAAATCCTAAGACTGGGTTTTCGTTCTCCATAGATCTGGGTGATTTATTTGTGCAATTGGCTGATGTTCATGATCGGCTTCCACCGTCGTGGATTAGAAATGATGAGGAGTTGAAGGGGGCTTTGAAAATGATGGGGAAGAGGGGATGGGTGGATAATTTGATCTATGAGATGACGATTAAGGGGACTGAGTAGATAGTTGAAGACTCGTAGTGCAAGAGGGTGGCAGATCGCGGGAGGAAAATGCTTATGGTATAGATGAGGGAGAGAGTAGTGTGAAAGGGTAGATGGAAAAAGTAAGCGAAGAATATCTGACATTGGCAGTATGTTTGTGTAGGTAGCACGAATCCGAAGAATGGAACTCTCTTACACGAGATATATGCAGGGATTTTAGTGGCAGGAGAAAGATCCAGTATTCGATAACGAAGCTACAAGCAATTATCTTGTATGTCATCAGCGAGAATTGTGGAAAAATGATACCATTATCAATAATCCAAAATCCAAAATCCGTCTCACCATGTTATCCATTACTTCGATGAGCTCGCACCTCTTTCATTTCTAATAATCAGAACGGGAGATCACCATGCAGGGAGATTGTTTCACATCAGACTGCAAATAGGATTCTTCTGTTATTGTAATCAGCTTTCCGTATCACATTGTTGAATCTAGCCAAATAATAGGAATCTGAAGTAAGAAAGCTCGAGATTAGCAATGAATTTGAGACATTTTTATGACCACTGGACAATGAAAATTTTCTTTCAAAGGAGCAATATCCCGCAATGAACAGATTGAGCACACAGAATTTATGGCCCATCTTTCGCGAGCATCTGAAATGTTCATTTACAGTCAGTCAAAATCGCTGAAGGAATATTTTTCTCATGCTAGAACTTCAGGAAAAGCACGCTATTGCCAGGGGATACAACGCAATTTGAAGTGAAATTATACATGAATGCTAGACAGAAAATAAAGTATGATGGGATCTAGGTATGTTTTCGTGTATTCTACGGCTCGTGTGACCGCAAATTCTCATTTATCGCATGATCTTCGATCCGTTTAACGACTTATACTACTAGCCTTCCACTTAACATAATTCAAAACTCGATAATCAATGACTTTCTCGTGTATCAGTCTCATCTCTCGAGGTGATAAAAGCAGATTAATGATGACAAGACCAAGAAACCCCCGGCGAGGTGGATTCTCGAGTAACGGTTCCATATACTACCAAAAACAGGTATACATATAAGAATCAATGTGAAGATGAAGGTCTTCTCCTCTATTCTTTCGCATTCGGTACATCCGAACCAGTCTGATCCTCTGGTTCCAGTGGTTCTGGTGGACTATCAGTTGTGGTGGGGTTTTCGACCGGTAGAGGTAAAATATCGTTGTCCTTGACATATTTCTGAATTGTTGCGATATGTTCGTTGTTAGTTTTGATACGCTATTGGCTATTAGCTGCGATTTTTGACACATATTCCACAGAGAATCAAACCTCTCTACTCTCTTTTAGATAATGATCGAGAAGCTTCGTATAGTCAGCAATCGAACATTAAGTTATCCTGTGTTGCAATCTACCGTTCTCCTATGTGCATCGGAACTCTCTCTCAATGTCTTGGCTTTATCTATCATTGCCTGGATGTACTTTGTCTTGCGTTCCCAATACTGCGTGGCTTTTGTGACATCGAATCCTGCCTTTTTCATAACTTCCAGCCCCCACACGTCTGCTTCGTTCTCGATTATGCTTGGGAACCATTGGCGACCATACCAGTCCATTAATCCAGCACACAAGCAATACGCCGCGGTTGGTATCCGAATTTGTTTAGATGCAATTCCTAGCAGTACTAGAATTGGAACTGGGTAACAGGCTCTCTGTTGAAAAAGCTCGAATGACATCTCTTCCCCTGCATGATTAAGATACGTGTGGGCGAATTGATGACTCATGATAGTAGCTAGTCCTACTTGATCAAACGCAACGATCTCTAATCCAATGGATGTCATAAATATTCGCCCAGGCCACATTGAATGATCGTGGCCAAAGTAGTTAGCTGTGATGATTGTTCGTGTTAGTATCAATGATATATAGTGTAGTAGAGAGGTGGCCTACTTTGTGCTTCAATTAGATGGTGACAAAAAAATAATTCTTCCTTCCCTCCATACTTTTCTTCACGAGCTACCTTCAATAATTTCCGGAAGACGGGAGCTATCTTTTCCTCCTCCTGGTCATTCAATACATGCTTCGCGGTAGCAAAGTATGCATTCATATTTGCTGGAAAGATTCCCAGCATCGAAGAAGCTGAGTATTCATTATGTCGTTGGATATTCGCCATATCGTTGTGAGAGAAGAACATAAGGCGTCGTCGGTTTGTAAAAGGAGCTTTCTCAATATGCCAAACTGCCCAACTCCACCATCCCGCAATTCCTACGGCACATAAGTATGCGGGCCATCGTATCCACCGAGATTGATGCGACCATGGAATCTCGTTGTTGAAGTATGATGGCGGAGGAGAACTTTGTGGAAGATAAGATTGAGGTTGTACATATTGTCCCCGATGGTAGAGTCGCGGGGATCTTTGAGATGCGCGGGTGAATTCGGGGGTTAGTCGCATAAAAGACGAAAGTCTTGAATTTCGTTGTATCATGTCTTTCATATTATGACGAATGGGGATGATTCGCAAGTCAGAATTGCAAGCTTTGATCATAGATGGGAATGATCTTCAAAACTTCTATTAAAAAGTAGTCACAGGATCTCGGCGTTCTGAATTTTTGGCTTTCAATACAGGGCGTGACTTCCTGAAGGCATCACGCATGTTATTAGCGTTGATACAGACGTAAAGGGCAGGTGTGACGCAATCTACGCATCTGTTCAACGAAGCTTTCTATGATTTTATGATAAGAGTACACATAAGAAGATCAACCTTGTTTCAATGTCTGATATCTGATTCTGACATGGTAATTATTATACCTGAACTTAGATCATGGCATTGAAATGAAGACTCATTGCACCGACGAACAAATATGCAAATCAACCTTCATTGACTAACTATCACTGCGAAAAAAAACTCAAAGGTCTTGACATGATACCATCGTGGAAACGCACAACTGAATCGGGCATTCAAAATCAGATCATCAGAAATCTACAAACTCAGAAACCCCAATCCTTCACCAATCTTCCAATCATCTCGTCATCTATTGTACCAAAACCTCTAAATAATGGACTCGCAGCCTGCAAATTCTCAGTGGTCCTAACCAATCTTTCCTCATGCCCAATTGCTCAAGTGCTGGAAATTTCTCTAGTTCATCTCTTGACGTAGCGTCATGTTTCTTGAGTTCCACGAGCCAATTCTGCAATGAGACTTCTTTGGTAACACGAATTATTTTCTTGCTTCCAGGTACAAGGCCACTCCACTTGACGCATTTTGGATTTATGAGATTGAAATTTGTTAAGCCTGCTCGCGTGTCAGTCCCATGCATCAATTCAACGATGATTTGTGTTACACTATCAGCCGAAATCTATTGAACAAGATCTTGAGCTCCAAGATTACTTGGTATCAATCCAAGTGCTTTGGAAGATTGCAGAAGAGCTGGGAACCAATCCTGAGCATTCCACTGCTTTTTTCCATCACCAGCAGGGCCACCAATTTGTCCACATCTTAGTAAGACATCAACTGGGATACCGTGATTTTTTGCAGCATTACTTAAAATATTCTCTGCTATGAACTTGGATTGTCCATAGCCTAACATTGGCAAGTTACCATCCGTGAAAATATGTTCCGATACTGGTTTCTTGGGTCGGAAGGATGGCCAACTAGCCAATGAGCTGAGCGTGCTCATAAATTGGATTGTCACTTTGCGTCGAGATAATAAGGACCAGTCGACAAAATTGCGAACGCCGGTAATGTAAACTTTTTCGAAAGACTCGATGGGTAGGTTGAAGTCGACTGGCCAATCTTTTTGTAGGATCACATCAATGGTTTCAAGAAAGCTTTGATAAATGGCAGGCTCCAAACCAAATCTTGGTTCGCCAAAGGATGCTTTGACGAATTGACCTTTTTGAGCTCCGTACACGTCACCGAACTCTGCAAGAAAGATTGTCTTGGCTTCGGATCGATTGAAACATACTATTCTAGCTACTTTAGAATCTGCGATTAAAGCTTTGAGAAAATAGTATCCCAAGTAGTCAGTGGATCCAGGAAGTACTACTTGAAAACTATCGCCATGAGACTTGATGATTGTTTTTGCTTTTTTGTTGGGCAGACTTGGTAAGGTGTGTATACACAATATGTATGGTTAAAAGGGTTGTTTATTTCTGTTTACCCTCTTTGTATGTAGAGGGAATTGCTATATCTATATATGTGTACTACCCTCATTTACGTACTTCATGTGTATGTGGGTAAAGCGTGACATGTAATGTCACGTTGTTGGTCACGTGTTCCGACATTTTTTGACTGAGAAATTTCTGGAATAGGTCTGGATAAGGTCTTCCAAGTAATTGTTTGCTGGGATAAGAGTCGGAGATATATTCTCTACGCCATCGAGCACCTCTGAAACGTCTTTAGGTTGGTAAGTTGAGTACCCTACTTTCAGGCCACCTCTGTTTTGGACTACTCTTTATCACCAAAAATCTCAAAAAATGGAATTTTTAATTTTCTTATTTATAAATAGAATTTATTGAAAATTTGTATATATATAATTCAGATCGTTTTAAATCTAATCTGAAAATTTTAGATTTTTAGGATTTTTTTATATTAAAATCTAAAGCTTTAAAATATCGATTTTTTAATTTATATAAAAATCATATATAAATTTAGAACTTTTATAAAATCTTTAATAACTTTTTAATAACAATTATTAAAAGAAAACTATATATTTTTTGAAAAGTTTTGAGCTTAAATTTATATAGAAATTCAATTTTTTTTTTAGAAAAATTAATAGATATAAAGATATAATATATAATAAGTTTAAAGTATTCACAATAAAAAAGCAGGCCAGTGGAATACATGTAAAAGTGATTATATAGATTAATTATATTAAAATAAAATCTAACTATAAAGTGGAAGTAATATATATATAGTAGTTAAGTGTACATACTATAACTTTTAATACTTCCTCAAAGAGTTTACTCTTTCAACTTTAGTAGTTAGCTTTGAAGCTTTAGTATATTCTTAAATCTCTTAAATATTATCTTTGTATATGGTTTTATTAATCCATCTACAGCTATATTATTTATATTAATATAATTAATATTAATTAAATATTTTTCTATAAGATCTCGAATAAAATAATAATATATATTAATATACTTTAATCATTTATATAAATATAAATTCTTAGTTAATACTAATACTTCTTAATTATCTCTGAGTATTTAAATTATATTATTATTTCTAATATACTTTGATCATTTTAAATCTTTCAAAAGTTAAACTACCCATTACCCTTGTTTAATAAACATAGCTATAAAAATATATTTAGCTTTTATATTAAATATAATTATAGATATCTATTTTTTACTTCCTTATAAAATTAATCCATTATAGAATATTATTACCTCATCAGAAATGCTTTTTCAATTAATTTTATTATTTACCTAGTCTATATTTATGTATATTTTGATAATATATTGTAAAAGGTTATATTCTTTATAAGTATTTGATTGAACTCCTTTAGATCTAAAGCGTAGCTTCTGTTTAATAGTCGATCTTAAATATCTTATAAGATTTTTAAGTACAATATTATAATATTTAATAAGATTAAATATAGTTTGTACTAATCTCTTGAAATCGAATACAATATCTAATCTAATATAAATTATAAGGTAAATTGTACTATCAATTACTTATTAATATTCATTTATATTAATAAGTTTATTGTTCGGTAATATTAATTACAATTAATTGTAATTCAAAATTAATATTTTTTTAGGGATATATTAATTATAGAAAATTCTGAATCAAATAAACATTACATCCAGGTATTCTTCTTAATTTATAATTAATATTCTTTCTAATTTGGTACAAATAATCTATACTTTTAAGATCTTATTAATCTCCTCCAAGTCTTTGGTATTAAATCGAGCAGAAAGATTGTAATAAAACTACTGAATATCTTATTTATACATAATAATAATAATATTATTATTTATATATATTAAAAAAATTAGCTAATATTAATGATTGATATATAAATATAGATCTGTAAGACTTTATATAAACCCTATTTTAATTAACTTTCCTTTTAGAAAAAAACTTTAATCTCTATTAATTTACTTTAGCTTATAAAAACTTTAAAGTATATATAGAATATGGTTATAATTAATATAAATATCTTGAAAAGGTATTAAATAGATTTCTTTTTTTAAGTATAATTTGGTGAATATATTTTTAATATTGAAATAAGAGTATTTGAGGTTCTCTTTTACAATAATTATAAGGAAAAGGTAAAGAATATCAAATCAAATTATAAAAATAAAGGTTTTATTATAATCTTTACCTAAAATTTAATTGAATTTTTTAATTATTAATTTAATCTTAAATTATTTTATCTTATTATCTTTTGTTTTAATAAAAAATATTTATTTTATTAAAACTAAATTACTTCTTTGTAATAAAATAAATTCTTTTTAAATATTATTTTTAATTAATAAATCTATTTCTTTTTAAATTATAATTTATTATTTTTTGTATACTTTTTATTTATTATTATTTCTTTATATATATTAGATATTTTAATCCTAAGAATTTCGATTATTGGTAGGTGTTATGGGAGCTGCCTCTAGGGTTATGTGAAAGTGGCTAGAGATTTCTCGAGGTGGTTTAGATTAAACTTCAAATAGGAATTCAATAAGGTTATAATTGGTTATAATTCTTATAGTTATAATAATAAAACTAATGATTATTCTTAAGCATGAAACTCTATATTATAATGAAATCCATTTTTTTATATAGATCTTCGTCTTACTTAAACAACTAGAACAGTCAATCGCTCCTAAAGCACTGTCGTTCTTAAACTGTCCATCACAGAACACTAATCCCATAACTCTTGGTATCCTAGCTTATTATTTTGTTCTGAAGCTAATCCCCTAAGACATTACTAATCCTAGTGAAGCCTTCTTGCTTACTGTGTTCTGTCTTTCCTAAGACCTACTATCCTGAAAGCTATGTTCTAGGTTTCTAGAGTATCCTATAACTAATACTATATACATACCTGAGGCTTCCCTTGGGTGCCTAATGTCCCCCAGTATACTGCAGCTGAATCACTGAGGCCTATAATACTATTATAGCCTATAAGTTGGTGATTCTACAGCCTGTTACTAATCCGTTGTAACAGTAGGATAGTTTTAGCTTTTACTAATATATTTACTAAAAGAATTAAGATTTTCAAAGCAATTTTATTATTTGTTTTCTTTTCAAATTAATAAATATTTAAAATGGTAATTATAATGTATTCGATTAATTTTATTACTAATTTATTTAAGAAGGTAAGTAAAACCCAAATGATTTTAAAATTTCTTTATCCTTTTACATCATTATCATTACCTTTCTTCTTTTTTTAAAAATTATATTTCGAATTCAGTAATATAGAAATAGGTTTAGATATAAGTATGGTAAATAATAAAATTATATTAGATAATATAATTTTAAATAATGAATTTAAATTCGATAGTAATAAAGTTATATTAAGTAAAGTAATCTTAGATAAAATACCCTTAAATAAAATAATTTTAAATAAAGTAATTTCAATTTCTTTATTATTTTTCCCTACCAATTCTAATAAATTATTAATTACCTGTTAAATATTTTTATATTTATTTTTATTAAAATATAATATTTTCTTGATCTTTATTTGTTTTGATATTATTAAGTGTATCTTTATTGAGTTTGTGATTATTGTATCTAATAATATTGGTGGATTGACTGGAATAGACGATAATTCAGGGATATTCTTAGATCTGTTATGAGATTTATAATCAAATTCTATATTCTTGATATCTTATGATTTGACTATATAATTTTTGAATTTAAAATCTAGATCCTCTCCTTTATAACTTTTGTTAATTATAATATAATAAAAATGGTATATGTAACCTAGCTCTAATAAATAAATCTTTATATATTTAATAATATCTTTTAAATATCTCAGGAATATTCTAATCTTTATTGTATTATAGAGTTTATTATGCCTTTATCCTTTTAAAATAGTTTTAAGATTGATATAAGTATAATATCAATTCCCCCAGACTTTGTATATATTAATATTTAATAATATACCTGTAAATACTTCGAATAGACTTTGATTAATTCTATTTATATTTGAGCTAATACTAATATAATTTCGAATATATATATTATATTTGATAGCTTTATTCTAAAACTCTAATGGTAAATAAGCTTCTTTTAATATTGCTCTTATATTAGCTTTTATGGCATATATTATATTTGATTAAATCATTTTAATAAAATAATGTAATTACTGTAACCTTTGATTACATATATTACGACGGTATTTAACATACCGCGTCACATGGCCAAACGGTCACGTAATGGACCTAGAGGATCTAGGGGATCGAAGAATAAATGTTTAGACCTATAAGATCCAAAGGATTCAAGTAGAACAAAGCCTCATAGTTCTGTAGAGAACGAAGGTTTATATAAGAAATAAGGTTTCTTTATATGTAGAACTTTATACTTAAGAATAATTATTAGTTTCATTACTATAATTACAAGAATTACAATTAGTTATAACCTTATTAAATTCCTACTTGAAGTTTAGTTTAAACTACTTCGAGAGATCTCTAGATATTTCCACATGACCCTAGAGGCAGCTCTCGTAAC